AATGCAACAGGTATAAATAGAAGTGTTTCTTCTCCATGCAGAGTGACACGCACTCTAACCCTACCATATTGCATTAAATGAACATTTAATGCAACGGGTATAAATAGAAGTGTTTCTTCTCCATGCAGAGTGCGCGCAACTCACTCTCTAACCCTAATTCTTACTTCAAGCATTTTCTAGCTTAAGTAAAGGATCTTCTTTACATCAATTTCTTTTCTTGTAATTTGCTAAGGTTATGTGTGTAACAAAAGATTGTTTAGATAGGTTTGTATTACCTTATCTTTTCGCAAACAATCTTGTAAAATATGTATTGATCTTCTCTATTAATATATATTTTAAATTTGAAAATTTTGTGTTTGTATTCATCCCCCCCTTCTACAAACTGTTTCTCTTCTTGTAAACCCTCTCTGGACCAACAAGTGGTATCAGAGCATTGTTTTCTTTCTTCTCTTGTGTTTAGCTGTTTTCTGTATTTGTTTATCTCTTTTCTTAGATAACTTTACCGCTTACAAATGACTTTACAAATTGCAAACACACACACACAAAAGATAATGGCTCCCTTGCAAAACCTCCCCGGTTTATCCGTGACAACTTTAGTCTCTGGAAGAACCGGATGTCCCTCTTTCTGGAAGGTGTGGATCCTGAAATTCCACATTACATAGAAAATGGACCATATATTCCATTTGCTATTGTTCCGGCTGTTCCAGCAACAGCTACGACTGCCGCAATTCCTGAACGGCAGATTCCAAAGCTTCCACATCAGTGGAGTGATGAGGATAAGAAGAAGATAACTATAGACACGCGTGCTCGGTCTATAATAGCTATGTCTCTTCCCGATGAGATTTATCACTCAGTGATGAAACTCAAAACCTCCAAATCCATGTGGGATACACTCTGTGTCCAATATGAAGGAACCACTCAGGTTCAGGAGACTAGAAAGATCAATCTAGTAAGACAATATGAAAGCTTTCTCTGTGGAAAGTCTGAGACATTGTCTGAAGTACATCAGAGATTTAATTGCCTTCTTATTGATCTTAGGGCTGTCGGCAGGGAATATTCTAATTCTGAAACTTTGACTAAGTTTCTAGAATGCCTCCTTGAGTCTCGGGACACCTTTTCCATGTGTCTCAAGATGTCCAATGACATGTCCACTCTTTCTCTTTCTACTTTATACGGGATTCTGCTTAACCATGAGCAATCTCGTCAACTGAAAAAGA